GCTTGAGCCCAGGAGTTGGAGGTCGCTGTGAGCTGTAATGCCATGGCACTCTACCCAGGGGGATAGCTTGAGGCTCCATCTCAAAAAAAAAAAAAAAAAAAAAAAGAAGATGAATCAACCTCGGCCCCCCTTTTAGAGTTCCCATCCCCACTATCCCCATTTCAACCTTCTCTGTCTTAGAATTATATTGGCCTTACAATTTTGAAAGGAATTGTATATACATTATCTTGCTTATGGTTGGAAACCCTACACTAATTCAATAAGAAAGTGAAAGATTATTAATTACATTTGTATCGGTGAGAGAACTGATAGTCAAAGGGGTTAAGCAACTTTCTCAGGGTCTTATAGAACCCGGGTCAGAGCACAGGTCCGCTGACCACTGGTTCAGCCACACTTTCTTATACCTTGCTACCCAAGCTATTTGGCATTGTCTTCTCATGAATAAATACACAATAGAAATTTTTAAATACTAAAGGCCCAGTAGAGACAATATTGTGGGGACATTCTCAGCACAGCTAACATTTACTGAGTGTTTGACTGTATGCCAGACGCCATTCTGAGCGTGTTACATTTAACGCTCCAAACAGCTCGATGAAATAAAAGAAAATCTGCTGCCATCTTTTGTGGACCCTCATTCTGTCCTGGCTCCTCTATTTCTATTAACTAAAACTCAATCATTTTTCTATAAAAAAAGGGCAGGAGAGCCTGAGGCACAGTGCGTATATAGCACGGGAGAATGGATGGATGGATGAACGGATGGATGGACAGATGGATGGATGCACTTAACTTTTCCCTAAGCTAAGTTGTGTTGTTGTTAACATATTATTACTACACAGAAAAATCAGTGAAATTCTAATTGATTTCTCTTGATCTCTGTAGACCCAAAAAGCGCTTTGCGGGATCACCTGAAATCTCAGACAGTGCAGGAGGAAGAGCTGGTAACTGTGCAACCCACAGATCTTTCTGCCAGGGAGTTTGTGGTTTACCAGTACGGCCTCTCCATCCTGCACCTGCTCACGCCCCAGTTGCAAGTAAGTCTGGTTTCTGGCCTCCCTGTGGAGGTGCAGCCATGGAGGTCAGGGTGGCCAGGAAGGCAGCTTTACAGTGGGGGGGGGGTTTCCCTGGGATTAAGCACGGGGAGCAGTGAACTTCCTAGTCTCTCCTTTCCAGATCTAATCTTTCAAATGATATTAATCACAGGTAGAATGAAGGAAGCACTTCCTACATGCCAGAAAACATTCTAATGATGTGCATGACTTAACTCCCTTAATCCTTACAAAAAACCTAAGAAACAGATACTGTTACTTTTCCCAGAATTTGAACACAGAGTGGTTGAGTAAATTTACCCAAGCTCACACAGCCAGAAAGGCAGCGCCGGGGCTAGAATCCAGTATTAAGTCTGGAGAGCCCTTCTGCCTGCCTGCCAGTCTAGTCCACCTGGATTTAGAAAAGTAGTAAGTTGATTGTCATAGTTAGCATAAATATTAAATACCTGTATATGCTTCCCACTTTCCCGCAGTGGACCCTGAATCTACTTACCTTGTTATGATCGAAATCAATGCTCCCCTACAGGAGCTTGAACTTGAGTAAAGTTCCTTTACTTTCCACCGATTTGACTGATACTTGGTAGCTAAGCTGCATGAGAAATTCTATTTTTGCATGAGAATTTTTTCAGCAAAAAGATAAAATTGCTTTTGTTTGTCCTTCATTCTTTTCAGGCTCCAGAAATCACCCTGCAGATTGCTTCCCATCTTCCTGCCATGGAAGCCTCCGGCAATGCCTTCCAAGGCACCTTCTTTTATCAGGTGCTACAAATCCCCATTCCCAGATGCAGGTTATAAAATTCTGGGGTCTAGTCAAAATAAACAGAAGCAAACAAAGAACGTATTTTATAAAAACATTTTTTTTCTCTCAACTCTCGACATATTTTATTCTTCCTTGGAAATAAATCATTGCATGAAGACATGATAAGTGTCACCATGTAAGAGCTTTCTCTAATCAGTGAGATGGATGTGTCCTGGATCACGCCCAGAGAAGCTCAATGGCTTTGTGCCCATTCATAGATCTCTGTCATTATCAGAGCCAGAGGTTCCAAATCAGTATTTCCCGTTAGAGTTCTGGTTCCAGCTTCAGGAAATCTTGCACTATCAGCATCTTTCTGCAGAAAAGAGTCTAATTTGTTCCTGTCCTGGTAGTTCCTCAAATATGTAGATTGGAAGTGCCTTGCTGGTGACTCTAAGATGGTGTATCTAGACCTCAACCACTAATGAAGGTCCACCGTTAAATAATTCTGAGAGAAGGATCTGCTGATCAATGTTGGAGGATTATAAAGCAGTTAACACTTGACTAGCAGATCGTTAAGGGATTTGATAAGACCAGAAATTACTCATCTGTGGTACTTACCAGGCATTACTTCACTCGATTCTCAAAGCAACTCTATAAAGAAAGAGTTTAATCTCACTTTACTGATGGGAAAACAGACTCTGGATTCATTAAGTTCAGTGTGTCAGATGCCTTACATACATTAGCTCATGTCTAACTTACAACAACACTATGGGGTGGGTACAATTGTTGTCTCCATTTCGTGAATTAGGAAATTGAAGCCTAGAGAAGCTATATAACTTCCCCAAGATCATAGTGTTAGCAAGAGTTGAGACTCAAGTTCAGGTGTATTTAATGCCAAAAACATCTTCTTGACCATTAGCCTATGCTACCTGATTCAAGGGACAGATTTCAGATTGTCTGATTCCAAATTACCAAAGGATTTCCCTGCCAATGTACTGCCCCTTAAGAGAATGAACAGGAGAGTGATTTCAAATCAATTATTTGATTTGAAAGGCAGGTGACTTGTGAAATTGATTACAGTAATGCCCAGAAGACAAAGAAAGCCTCAGAGCCCCCAAAGGCAGTGATTCCCAAACTATGGCCCTTGGAACTCCAGTATTAATTGTCAGGGAAGCTTGGTAAAAGGAGAAATGCCTTGAACCTGTAGAACCAGAAATTCTGGGAGGGCCCCAAGAACAGAATCACTCCCTGTGATTCTAATTCCACGAAAGTTTGAGAACCAACCTCGGCTTAAGGAAATAGTACTTGTAGGACTTTGATAAAAGACAGCAGAGATACATCAGTAACTTGGACTCTGTAAGCTGACCACCCAAGGTACTGGTCAACATACAGAGATGGTCAACATAAGGAACTTCCATTGAGTACATGTGATGCATGTCCAGTCAATGAGAATTAGGTCAACTCAAGGAGGTGGTCAATGTAGGGAGGTGGCCAGCTATGGAGGTTTTACTATAGTTCGTTTTTTATAGGATGGAGTTAGCAGGAAAAATTGGGAGACAGTAGAGAAAATGACTTATTCAGAGAGTTGAATTAAAACAATAATTTTTCCTTAGTCATCTGAATCTTCCCTTCAGTAATTTCCATGAGGCTCAGAGAATTTTACTGATTCTTAGACCATATACCACAAACCTAGGAAAAGAAAAAGGCTGTGGAATGCTCCCTGAGGTTGACTCTCTGTGTTTGGATATTTTCTCCAGAGTGCTAAAAACACACTGTTTATTAAGAGAGAGTGTTTGGCATCTGTGGGAAACTTCATTCTGCTGTTGATCCATTGCCTGGCCCACATCACTGCCAGAGACGCCCACCAGGACTCCAACCCTGTCTTTCTGAGGTCATTTTATGAGGTATTAGAACATGCACAGGGCATTTTGCTTCTATTTCTCTGTGACTCAGACCCCATTCCCCATGACTCAGCCCCCATTCCCCAGGAAAATAAATGCTTTCAATATTTCAAATCTGTTTGAGTCCTACTGGTGACCTTTGGTTCCCACTGCCTGCCCAGAAAGACTTTCCTAATCAAAATTCCCGTGGTCACATAGGACAAAATGCATGCACCACCCTTGACAGCAGTGGTCTTCCCATGAGGCCAGTATCTCAGCTTTTCATGGAAATTTAACTGTCAGTCTACAAACCGCACCAGAATTGCTAATGATAATAATGGCCTATGATAAGGGCAAGTGAGGATGAAAATCTCAAGACCCACTTTCCTTTCAACTATTATTTTAAAGCTTTAGTAACAGTTGCCTCGGAGTCCTACTGATCTGCCCCCTCACTTTCCCTTCCTTGGCCAGGGGCTGAAAGCATATTTCAAGGACGCGTTCTCCATCATGCTGCGAATGTCAGCCATTTCCTGGGATAGTGAGCTTGACCAAAGCATGAGTGCCATTCTGCAGGAAGAGCAGTCTGCCTCTGGGAAGCAAAGAGATCTTCTCTCTAAATTCTTTGAAATGAAGCATGAGTCTTGCTTGGAGCTAGAATCGTCAGAAGAGGTAAGTAACTTTATCATGTGTATCACATGGCCTTAATTACAATTAGCTTCTCGGCTCAGCTCCTGTAGTACAGTGGTTACAGCACTGGCCACATACACCAAGGCTGGCAGGTTTGCACCCGGCCTGGGCCAGCTAAACAATAATGACAACTGCAACAAAAAAGTAGCTGAGCGTTGTGGTGGCAGCCTGTAATCCCAGCTACTTGGGAGGCCAAGGCAAGAGAATCACTTAAGCCCAAGAGTTAGAGGTTGCTGTGAGCTGTGACGCCATAGCACTCTACCAAGGGCGATATAATGAGACTCTGTCTAAATAAATAAATAAAAATTAGCTTCTTCACAAAGAAGTGTATGACCTTTTCAGATATTTCTGGGCTATCTAGCAGTTATACTGCCTTGACACTCAGCCTACTTCTCAAACCACAGATGACAGCATTTTTTAAATAACATATCCTATGGGGCGGACAGTGGTTATGTTGAGTCATGGGGACAGCAAATGTGGGTCTATGAGTTACATAACTTCATGTATCACTAACATATTATCAGTAAGTAAGCAGAATTCCATCTGTAAAACTCACTGTGACTCATACTAAATTTAGATGCCCAAGGGATAGCATATTTACTCAGACTTACAGTGTGCTGTATTCCAGGCAAGCTTGACAATGATAGTCTTCTGAATATTGTGTTATTTAAAGCACCTTTATGAAATTATCTCAGCCTTTTATTAAAGATTTTCTTTATTTCAAAATATTAAGGGAGTATGATTTTTTTTTACATAGATACCTTTTATAAAGTATAAGTTGGGGCTTTTAGTGTGCCCATATGGAGACCGTTATCTTAAATGAAGTATCTCAGGAGTGGTAAAACAAACATGTGTGTCTTCTTGAATAATTAGGAGCTCATCAGTGGGCGCACACAGGCACAAAGAGATGTAAAGGTCTCAGGAATCAAGAAAGGGGAAGGGGAGGAAAGAGAGTGATAAAAAACCTACCTATGGAGGACAATGAACATCATCTCAGCTTTTTAAAGGATATCAAAATTTATGTCTATGATCTTAAAAATATTACCCTCCATGAAGAGTCAATCCATTCTTGAGGTATAAACAAGAACTCATCTTTTTACATTATTTCTATCAAATTATAATTTTCAAAGCCACTTTTATATATGTTGTCTCCCTTGATCCGGTCAGCAATCTTGCAAAATAGGTAGTATATGTATTTTTAGCCATATTATATGTTTTAAAAGAGTAAGGACTTTGCCCAAAATCATTAAGGCTATTTGTAGCGGTAGATTTGAGACTAGATTCTAGATCTCCCCTGACTCCTGATTAAATATCCCCTATGCATCTCTTCATGATTAAATCTCCATTAGTTACTGAGTCAGAGGTTTGTTTCATGGTTACTGCTGATGTTGGACATTAAGACCACAGAATTCGGTTACACCTCAGCTCCCACAGACCACAGAGAACTGTCAATTTTCTGTCCTTATCTATTGGCAGCATTTGACACATCAGAATGCTCCTCAATACATTTTCTTCACTTGGCTGCCAGGGCACTGTCCCACCTCTGGTTTTCCCCCTACCTATCTCTCAGGGACCTTTGCTGACCTCTCCTCTTCTCTCTGACCTCTTAATGTTGGGGGGCCAGGATTCATTCCCCTTGGGGGAGTCATCCAGTCTTCTAGCTTTAAATCTTGTCTATGTGTCAATGACTGTCACATTTTCTTTCTTTTTTTTTTTTTTTTT